TAGGATTGATGACAGCACCCCAACTCTGCAGCCTTCCCCAAGGTGGGGATTTGTCATCATTTTATCTTGGAAGATGTTCTAGAAAGCAAAATCGACTTACATGATCCGCTGAGAGCTGTCTCCTTGGAATTTTCTAGTACAGAAAGCATGAGACCTCTGCTTTCCAACAGTAGAGTGTGGGAATTTCTGGACACACATGTCGTGTAATGAGCACTACAACTTAAACATGTGAAATGAGACAGTTTCAAAATGTCTGCTTCCATGAGAAAGCCCATTCCTTTGATATCATACTTTCTTGAAGACTCGGAAGGGTCGGGGATCATTGTTATAAACAATTATCAGCAAATCAAACCACAGAGCTCTTGTGGGCTACTGGGATATGTAGGACTATTTTCTATGTGTGGGATGCTTTCCTGTGAGCCATTAGAATATATAGGACTGCTTCCTGTGGGCAGCTGGGATGTGTGAGCCTGTCTCCTGTGGGCAGGTGCGATGTGTCTGACTTTCCTGTAGGTAGTCTGAGTGTGTCTGTCTCCTGTGGGTAATTGCAATGTGTCTATTTTTTTGTGGGCCACTGGGATCCGTAGGACGGTTCCAAGTTCCCTGAAGTTCCTTTTCTCTTTTTGTCTGGAGCCATCATTTTTCCTAAGGCCAGTTTTGCTGCCTTTAGTCAGCTATCAACTTGAGTTCTGCAGCCTGGTTTATGACAATGCTACAGAGGCAGGAAGTAATCTCCAAGTTGATGTGGGATTCCACTCTGTATGCTGTGAACACAATTGGTTAATAAAGAAACTGTCTTAGGCCTGTGATAGGGTAGAACAGAGCTAGGTGGGGGGAGAGAACTAAACTGAATGTTGGGAGAAAGGCAGAGTCAGGGAGAAACCATGTAGCGCCCCTCCCCCCTGCAGAGACAGATGGTAGTTGGAATCTTGCTGGTAAGCCACAGCCACGTGGTGATACACAGATTACTAGAAATGGGATAAATTTAGATGTAAGCATTAGCTAATAAGAAGTTAGAGCTAACGTGTCAATCAGTGATTTAACTAAACAGTTTCTGTGTGGTTATTTCGGGAGTCTGGGTGGCCGGGAAGTGAACAAGCGGCCTCCTTACTACACCAAGGGAGGACTCAGAGTTCTCCTTGCAAAGGCCTTGTCCTGCACAGTGTGATAAAAGCATTCCTGGCTGTTTGCTTTCTCTGTTGTCAGCATTGAGGCTAATGGAAGGCTGGATTCTGAATCTGAGCAAAAAGGAAACATCTTTTTTAAATATTATGAGTCTTTTAAGATGTTTGAGTTTATGTCCATGAGCCCTAATTTTTTTCCCATAATTTTGTATGTGTGTACATGTGATGTGGGATTCCCCTCTGTATGCTGGGAATACCATTGTTTAATAAAGAAGCTGTTTTGGGCATGTTGATAAGGCAGAACTTAGGTAGGTAGGGAAAACTAAATTTAATGCTGGGAGAGGAGGCAGAGTCCGCGAGAAGCCATGTAGTCCTGCCAGAGACAGACACTGGTACTTTAGTTGGTAAGCCACAGCCACATGGCTATACACAGATTAATAGAAATAGGTTAAATTAAGATGTAAGAGTCAGTTAATAAGAAGCTAGAGCTAATGGGCCAAGCAGTGATTTAATTAATACAGTTTCTGTGTGATTATCTTGGCTGAGCAGTCAGAAACCAACAAACAGCCTCCCCCCAACATTCACGTATGATTTTGGATGCACACATGTGGATAGCAGAAGACAACTTTTGATGTCATTCCTCAGGCACTGGCTGCCTTGTTTTGTGAGGCCCATAAATAAAGAGGCAATGTGCTCTATGCGCATATGTAAATTATATGTATATCTTATATGTATTTATATAGAATTTTATATGAAATATATAATTTGCATTGCAAATTTACAAGTGTAGAATTGTTGTTATTTTTTGAGAAGTGTGTATGCATGCATGTTTATGGGGTTATATGAATGCATATATGTATATGGCTTATGGGGGCCAAGGTTGGGTGTTATTCCTCAGGCATCTTTCTGGTTTTGCAACAGGGTTTCTCACAATGTGGGTTGCCAAGTCTGCCTGACTTTCTGTCTATCTAATGACACCAAGGATCATGACTCTGCCTCTGCCTCTCCAGCACTAGGATTACAAGGTGATGCTATCATGCCTGGATTTATTTTTTAATGTAGGTTCTAGACATCAAAATCTGGTCCTCCTGAGAGCGTGACAAGCACTTTAAAGACTGAACTATGTCCCCAGCCTCCTAATTTTATTCCTATAATTAGACTACATGCTCCTGGGGTATAGACTATTTAATGTTCCATCTTATTTTTAGAAATCCCAAATACAATACTCTGCATCTAAAGTAGGCACTTCTTACATACTGAATCCAGGGTATTAAGAAGTACCATAGTTAATATTAGCACATTTACAGAGTGATATGCTGACTGGAGCTGTCCTGTCCAGCAGAGTAATCTTAGCAGGGAGAAGCCTGTACTCACTGGCCAGCTGGGAGTGCTAATGGACCAAGAGTTGTTGGCAGCTACTCAGTCAGCTACTATCTGAAGACACTCACAGCCAGAGTATTAGTTCAGGCTCTCTGGAGTAACAAAACTAACAGAATGAATCTCCTTCTGTATTTAGACAGAGGCTTCATTAGAATGACTTACAGGCTTCCATCTAGATAATCCCACAATGGCTGACTAAGAAATGAAAATCCAAGGATGCCATAGTTGCTCAATCCACAAGGCTGGATGTCTCAGCTGGTCTTCATTGTATGCTAGGACTATAAAGAAACATGTTCTAACTCCAGTGAAGGAATGGATTTGCTAGTGAGATGAGGGCAAGCAGATCAAGAGCAGAAGTTTCCTTCTTCCTTGTCCTCATACAGGCTACAAGCAGAAGGGGAGGTTCATCATGTCTTTTCACGGGTCAAAAGATTTGGATTAGAAGTATGTCTTCTTACGTCAAACACCCGGATTAGAAGTGGCTCTTTCTACTTCAAACTAAACAAAATCTCTCACTGGTATACCTTCCATTTGGGGATCTCAGTTAATTCTAGTTGGAATCAAACTGACAGCCAGGAATAACCATTACACCAGGAAAATGCGTGCAGGGCGGAAATGATCTCAGATATGGTATCCTATGTATTTGCTTTCTGTGGGGCACAGGTCACTAGCAACATGACTTGGGGACAAGATGGTCTTTTTAAATTGACATGCAAATTTATATTTTCAAAATATAAACTTTATATTAAGTGAACTAAGGTGGAATTATTTCGACTTTTACACCATAGAACGAGGAAGGTACCCCAGATACTCCTCCCTAATCCAAACATTCACAGTGAACAACGTGCAGATGGGAGCCCTAGCGGTCAAGCCTGGGGCCGTGTGCTTTGCAGACTAAGCACCTGTCTATCTCCCTTCATAGTCCCCTCTCCAGCCAGAGGTCGAACATTGAGCCACATGTCACTATGAGCTTTCCCTGGGATGCTGGACTCATCAAAAGTGTTCGGCTCTCATCCACTCCGTGAGGGTCTGATGGGATGTTTGTCTTTACTTCTGGAAGAAAGCAGGAAGAATATTTTGTTGACAACAGGTGTGACTGAGGGACTGTAGATGACACATTTACAAGTGTGAGCTGGGTGTCTCCTGGCTCCATCCTGCTGTCTATGAATAGGTAACCTTTATCAGAGTTAGTGACGTTTTTATCTAATTTTTAAAAAATGTACTAATGTCTAGGGCTGGAGAGACAATTACGCAGTGGAGAAAACACTTACTGGTCTTGCAGAGGATCAAAGTTTAGCTCCTAGCAGCCATGTGCACAGCTCACAACTACTGTTACTCTGGCTCCCAGGCACTCATGGGCACATTGCACAACCTTCAGTAACTCTAGCTACAGTGATCCCAACTCACTCTTCTGGCCTCTCTGATCGTTTGCGGTTATGTGGATACCCCTCCCCCAACACCCATGAATAAACCTTTAGAGTGTGTTACAGGCTAGTGAACTCAACACTCTTTATGAGCATTCTCACTAATTTATTCCTGTTTGCTTCTCTAAGCATGACTCAGTCAAATAGGGGCAAGTACACTTCACTTTACAAATGAGACTGGGGCTAAGAAACAGGAGTGACTTATCCTGGTTCATGGTGGCACGGGAGGTCTCTGAATGGCCTTGGACCGACTCAGACCCAGGAGCGTAAGCCTCTTGAGATCGATGATTCTGGTGCTAGTCTGTCTGCCCAAAAGAAGGATGTCCTCCAACAAGTCACAGGACAAGGATGGCTGCATTCTGGGGTCCCACAGTCACAGTCACGTGTGACCTGTGTCGACAAGATTTCATTTGCTCCAGGCGCTTTCCTGGCCATGAGGGATCCATTCTCTATGATTCCTAGATTTTTGTTAGGCTTGTGATGTGGAAATATTCTGTCTCCTATGGCTCACACGTGTGCTCTGTTTGACTGGTGGTTAGTGCACAGCAAGCTTCTATCATGGTGTTTACACGGCAGTGGTTAGAAGAGAGAGCTGGGATGTGACGGGGCAGTCTGATTTACATAAGGTGATAAAAACCCCTGCTCATGCGGTCTTGAGTGCAGAGTAAGTGACTGCATATATGTCACTTAGTGAGAACATCGCCTGCCAACGACCCATTTTTATACACATTGGCTACTAAAATCTTTGGGAAAAAGTACAAGGATATTACTAAATATTTCTGGACATGTTCAATAACAGTATCCTATCATATTCATCGAAAGGATACAAACACACCTGGAACAGCTGGAGTACTTGTTCCTAAACATTGCTACAGTATTTATGTTCATTCGTTTACTTATAGTTATCTTTACGTTTTAATATGATTTTGATATGTTTTTATTTCAATTATCTCAATAATTTTTACTTTTTAAATTGTGTGTAATCCTGTGTGGGAAGCAAGGCAAGAGATAAGGGAACAAAACAGAATGGACAAAAGAGTTGGAAACCATCCGTAAGAATAGTGAGGGGAGCTTCCTGTCGCGGCCGTCATCAGAGAGGAGCAGCCATGGCCCTGCGCTACCCCATGGCCGTGGGCCTCAACAGGGGCCACAAGGTGACGAAGAACGTGAGCCAGCCGAGGCACAGCCGGCGGCGCGGGCGCCTCACAAAGCACACCAAGTTCATGCGGGACATGATCCGGGAGGTGTGCAGCTTCGCGCCCTATGAGCGGCGCGCCATGGAGCTGCTGCTCAAGGGGTCCAAGGACAAGCGCGCGCTCAAGTTCATCAAGAAGCGGGTGGGCATGCACGTACGCACCAAGAGAAAGCGGGAGGAGCTGAGCAACTTGCTGGCCGCCATGAGGAAGGCGGCGGCCAAGAAGGCCTGTCCCCCCCCCCCCCCCCCCGTTCCAATAAACGGTGCCGTGGTAAAAAAAAAAAAAAAAAAAAGAATAGTGAGGGGAAATGGATCTCGTGCTCTATTATATAGAATAGTCACAAGTGCTGTTTAGTTTGCATGTGCACTGTTTTCCTTGAGAGATTTTTTATGTTTTATTTGTTTGCAGCGACATCAGAAGCATTTATTCTAGGACATTTCCTTCCTTATTAAAAGAAGGCAATGTAATTTTGAGATTTTTTTTTTTAGTGCAGAAGTAAAGTTTATATTTGAATCAATGTTGAGACTTGATATCCATCTCCTTTCCTGTAAATCAAGTGGCTCTCATGCTGTTCTTTACCCTGCTTGGGAAGGACTCAGTGACCATTTCTGATGGTCCAGGCTGAAAAAAAGCTCAATTTACTTCAAATAATCAACATTAAATTTTACAGATATAGCATTTAAAATGATATTAACAATTATTAAAAGCATGCAATAATGATACTGTTAGAAAATAGTAAAATTGGTGTTTATGATCACCTTTTATTTGTCTTGGGTTTTGTTTCTTGCTAGAACTTCACTCCATGACTTTTTGGCTCTACTGGGAGCTGTAGATAGTTGGTGATGAAGTAGACGATATGCTAGCACCTAAACAAGGCTTTGTCAGCATGTGTTATGGTGTTCCTTGCAAATTGGTGGGTTTTTTTCCCCTTCCAAACATATGCATATCTGAAAATCAAATTGAGTGCGCCTTACCTCGTGCACTCCTCCGTACCTCTAATGAGGTGGAAAAATGTACATTAATGACGGAACGTTATTTAGTGCTGAACAGAGTTAATTGCTTCTAATCACTGCTTATATCCATCTGGTTTTATGGTAGACAACAAACCTCTTCATTGGGCTTGCTCATTAGACATACTGTAAATCACAGCCGTGTACTGGCATCTTGCATATTGTGCTTCTATTAGTGACGCTGCGTTTTCCTATAGCTCCAACGGCAGCATCAGGGCACAGACTAACTTCTCCATATTCTGTCAGACCTGCAGGGAGCCATAGTAGGTTGATTCCACAGGCTCCCACGGAAGCCATGGAAAGCCAGCAGAGACTGGGACTGGGTGGTGTCTTTATTATCAAACTGGAGTAGAGGAGGAAATACTGGCAGTGATCTTGCTGGTTTTTCTATTTCCCCCAAAGCTTGAGAGTAAAGCTGCTTTCTACTGTTATCATGGAAGTACACAGGGGTGGTAGGCAGACGCGAATCAGGGTTTGAAGGGCTAGGGGTATGGCTCTAGTGCTCGGTGCTTAGAAGCCCATATTTGCTCTTCCAGAGGGGAAGAGTTTGGTTTTTCTCATGCATGTCAGGCAGGTCACAACAGCCTGTAACTCCAGTTCTAAGGCATCCGATGCCCTCTCTGTCCTCTATGGGATAACCCCCAGGCACGTGCACACAAATAAAGACATGAAAATAGAGTCAGGGTTTGGAATTGAGCTAGGTACAGTCTCTAAACATGGGTCTCACACCAACGGTTTCTTCCACTTCAGAGATCAAACAAAATTTACCATACTTTTAGGAGAAAAAGCTCAGTACATGAAGTATGATGGTCAATAGCTCTATCAGAGCATGATTAAACCCGGGCTAGACCTAATTAGAATCTTAATGATATGACTGTTATCTACCTATCATGAGGATTTAGGCAACAAACATAGAAATACAACCTGAAAAGCAACAATCTAAAAAAAAAAAATCCAAGAGGTTATAATTGCCATAATGTATTGAATTGTTGGAGCTTTCTGTTGGTTAAAAGAGAACCATATCTAAATAATAATAAAAAAGAATGAAGAAAGAAGGAAACCGGAAGAGAATGAGAGAAAGGAAGGAGAGAAGGAAGGACTGGAGGAAAGGGAAAGGTAGGGAGGGAGAGGAGAGGGAGGGAGGGAGGGAGGAAAAGGCTCTACATCACTGATAGCACCTTTCCTTTTTGGTGCTTACCTGATTCTTCCTGTTAAGGATGAATGACCTTAGGGAGCTACCTTGTCATAAGAGGTTCAAAATCTAAAGCTGGACAGTATCACGGGTCCCACCTGGCAATGTATACCCAGTTCATTCCATAGCTGACGTACCTGATCATAGAACTCCTAAGAGACATGTCCAAGACGGTAGTTACCTTCATTGCGGTGCTGCAGTTAGAGCACACGCGAATGTGATGGTCCGACATCATCCAGACGGTGATTGTTTTAGAGCCTCAATAAACAATGGAACTTGAGCACACACACTGTGTCCTCCACCTTTGCACTGGCGGCTTTGTGACCTGTATGGGGAACAAGGAAACAACAAAGTCATCCCTTTGTGGGGAAAGCAGTTTAGACAGGGGAGGGTGTGAAAGCTGTGTTCAGCTCTCTCTGAAGGCATTGCTCATCTAAGAGAGACTGTGCAACTTGAGGCCTAACCTAAAATATATATAACTAAGAATTATTAAAATTGATAATTCATTTATAGATAATGTAATAATTATTAGTACACATATGTCATTATCTATCAAGGGGATATAAGTGAAATTTTACTGTATTTCAATTCTTAATTAATTTTTCTAACTTCAGTCACTCATTTCATTTTTTGTTAATGCCCTTATTAAATTAGATACCTGTGTATTTCTTGCAACCTATTACTTTTAACACTGAGTTGAAACTGAGTTAAAAGAACTTTATTATAATGTCACAGGTATAGTTTAGGTGCCAAGAATTTGCTTTCCAATGGTCAACCTATGTCTAATTCAATTCCTGCCTCTTTAAAACATTGTTCTTCTAAGTATGTACTACTTATGGAAAACGTTTGCCTCTACCAAAATATTCATACTCATCTTTCCTCTTTATTGTTGAGAATTATGCACACCATATGCATATACAATACATGACAAACAACACACACATGCATGTATAGAATTAAACCATTAGCTATCAGATCTATCAGTAAATTGTACCTTTTATGTTATGCTTAGTTCTTACAATAATAGCCTTATGTATTTTTTGCATAAGTCATCCCTTTATGGATGGTTTGATTTGAGTTGATGACTGGAACAAGATTTTAAAGCCTGTTTTGCACAACCTTTTTCTTTTCTCATCTCTTTAGTATTCAACATGAGTGGAAGGCCAGTATGAGCTTGGCTGATTGGATGAGAGTTAAATGAAGAGTAGCCATTATTTCCATTGCTTTAATTATGCCGTCCTCACACCATGATGGACCCTGCTCCATTTCCCTCTGGTAGACCTGACAGACTATAACTGACCTAATTGATACCAGATGACAGCTCAAATAAGGCTTAATAAAGAAGTAATCACACTAATCTAATGAGCAAGCTGTTAGGATATTGGCTTATAGGAAGCTGTTGTCCAAGCCCTTCATTTCTCTTTATTCTCTATGACCAGTACTCCCAGTTATCTCTCTCCAGTGCACAAGAATCATAGGACTAAAATGAACTTAGGGGAGCATGCGCACTATTGCCCACTGTTTGCTCTGTTGAGTACACACTGATAAAATTCTTCAGAGCCTCAAATATAATAAAAAGTTGAAAGCATAGTACAGTGACCACATAGACCTACCCTTCAATAATTTTTCTGTTTTGGCATATTCTCTCTGTATTTCTTTCCCGCTCTCTTTGCGTGTGTTTGTGTTTCTGAAATATTTGGAAATTATGTGAATCATAATACTCCATCTCTGAACACTTCATCATATAGTTCATAACAATAGGCATTTTCCTACATAAGTATGAATTATTATCAAATTGCCAATAATATCCAATCTATGTTCAAGTCCCTAAAATCATTTTCATGTACTTTTAAAAGACCTACTTTGTTTGCAAACTATAAGCAGTAGAGAGAAAAATTGATAAGAACAAACAAATATGACATAGTTGTTTGGAAAGGCTATATGAACCCTATTGGTTTACATGCTACTTTAATAAAATACTAAAAAGCATGAATAAAACTGAATATCCTATGATAATTTTGAATATTTCCTCTCATAAAAAATGTCATGACCTCACCTTGCTTTTTCTTTCTTTTTTTTTTTTTTTGGTCTTAAGTCTGTCATTATCCCAAAGTACCAAGGAACAAAATCTAAGCCAATATGAGTCACATCGCCATCATCTGAGGGAATCAGCTGAACTTCTCACTGCAGGTGGATGTTCTGAGGCCCTAGGTAAGAGAGTTCCTCAGGAAAATTATGGCTGACCCTGAGAGGGAGATAACACTGTGTCCTCACAAAGGCGCAGCAGACAAACCTCTCCAATTGCTCCTTTTCAACCTTGATCGTTTGTCTGTGGCTGCTGGAACCAGCTGGCATGATCACAATGGGGGGAGAAGGAAGAAGAAGAAGGAGGAGGAGAAAAGGAGAAGGAGGAGGAGGAGGAGGAGGAGGAGGAGGAGAAGGAGAAGGAGAAGAAGAAGAAGAAGAAGAAGAAGAAGAAGAAGAAGAAGAAGAAGAAGAAGAAGAAGAAGAAGAAGAAGAAGATTAAGGAGTGGATCTAGGCAGAAAAGTTAGGGTGAATAGTGTAGTTGAATATGATCAAAATGCATTGCATGTGTATATGAAGTTATCAAAGAAATGATAAAAAAGATTATATTTTTAATTAAGGAAAAATAAATGGTATATATGCTGAGTTAATAAGAATGTGTCACTTAGTTTATTAATTACAAGAAATGCATCACGCTGTTATAAGATGTTGCTAGTAGTAGACATAGATTGCAGGGTGCATGAGGCTTCTATATTGTTTTTCCAACTATTCTGTAAACAAAAAACTCTTCAAATATCCTTGTTTAAAGAAACAGTGCTGTGTGGGTGGTAGTTGGGATTTGGATCTTTCAGTGTCCCCAGATCCCATTACGGTTTGATCTCTTTTTTTTTCCCTAAAAAACACTGGTATAACTGTGCTCTACTAAACAGATGGCCCATGATTAAATTTTAGTTTGTTTAAAGTCTCCGTGGCTATGAAGCCATTTTCTGAGTGGCCA